TTCAGTTTTGGGCCCCTCAATTCAAGAAAGACATTGAGATGCTGGAACGAGTCCAGAGAAGAGCAATGGAGCTGGGGAAGGGTCTGGAGCACAAATGTGATGAGGAGCAGCTGAGGGAGCTGGAGAGGCTCAGCCTGGAGGAAAGGAGGTGCAGGGGGGACTTTGTTGCTCTCTGCATCTGCCTGAAAGGACGCTGTAGCCACGTGGGTATTGGTCTGTTCTTTCAGGCCACAAGGACAAGATGAGAGGAAATGACCTCCAGATGAAACAGGGGGGTTTACACCGCATTTTGGGAAAAATTGCTTCACTGTTCTGGCATTAACCCAGGCTGCCCAAGGAAGTGGTGGAATCACTGTTCCTGGAAGCTCACAAGTTGTGCAGCTGTGGTGCTGAGAGACATGGTTTAGTGGTGGGCTTGGCAGTGCTTGGTTGGTATGGATGATCTTAGAGGTCTTTTCCAAGCTTAATGATTCTGTGTTTCTATTCTGTAATTCCAAGTTTCGTCTGCTTTGGCTGATAGAACAGAAAATATGGTGTAGGCTTAGTAGTAGTTCTTTGTTTTATTTCTTGGTTTAGTTGGGTTACTTGGGGGTTGGTTTTGGTTTTTCTTTTCTTTATTTGTTTTGTTTTGTTTTGTTTTTAACTTTTTCATCTCTCTGTATGTGTGTGAGGACAATAGAAGCTAATTCTACTCCAGCAGGTCAGAAGATGAACTGCCTTCATCTATCCCAGTCCTCTCTCTACTATCCCTGCTTATAAAGGGATATGACATGAAACTGTAAAATGAGCAGGACCAGACCATGCCTGGGGCTTGGGCTCAGCTCCATGTGAAGAATCTGGCACCTTAAAAAAATAAGAGTATAACATCAGAGTCTCAAATGCTGGGTTTTCAAAGCATAGAAGATCTGGATCAGGTGCTTGAAACATAGGTGTCAGCTTTTAATTCAAATCCATGCCCTCCAGCACCACTGAAAAAGGAGGAGAAGTCCCCAAGACTTCATATCTACACGCCAATGTGCATATTTTCGATGCCCTTGTGCATCTCAAATGGCACCAGACCCCTGTGATTCTGCATCTGAATGGGCACACAGATGTACTGGGATTTGAGAGACATCTCACACAAATTGAATTGTGTCTATCAGAGCTTGGCTCAGGCTGAACTTCCTTACCGTCCACAGTCCTTGTCTTTCTCCTTTCTGATGGGAAATCATAGAATCATGGAATCAGCCGGGTTGGAAAAGACCTCTGAGATCATCAGGTCCAACCCAAATCCCAGATGGTTCACCTTGGTTCGCTAACTACTTAGGCTCTTAGATGCCCAATTGACTCTGGGCAAATCCATTCCATCCATAACTCAACTTCAATGCTCAGAAGGTCACAATTGTTTCAGGACACAATCCTGGGAAAGAGAATAAAAATCTCCTCTGGGCAGGTGTTATGGACTTGTTATGGAAATGTTAATTCAACCTCAAATCCTGCTTAGGCACAGAAGGAGGGCTTCCATGTTCTAAAGTGGCATTAGTTATTTATTTGCTAGTTTCTGGGGAGTTGCTGTTTAAAGAGGTGGGTTGGTAGTGAGGCAATCTGATAGACTGTGTTTGGAAAAAGGGGATAGCACAGTGGTTGAGAAGTTGCTCTGGCCTAAATGGTTGTTTTTCTCATTTCATGGATAGGGAGGAAGCGTTTTGAAGGTGATGTTATGAGAAGTGCACACCTTGGCCTTGGGCACGAGGTAAAACGTCCCCCTGAGCCACCTGAGCTGGTGACATAAAGAAACAATTGCGGTTCTGCTCTGTTCATGCTGGTGTTAAGGAAACTTTCCTGTCTCCCCATCCAGGAGGCACTCTGGCAGTCCCACCCCTCCACCAGAGACTTTCACTGCTGGGACCGAAGCCCCTTTGCAGGGGGCAGCTCCTGTGAGCCCCCGGGTGCCCCACTTGAGCCCCTGCACACCCCACACCCCCTGAGTCAGACCAGGTTTCCTTACCAGCTGCACACTGGTTTTCCCATAGCAGAGTCTCAGACGTCTGGATCTTTAAAGCAATTTAATCATGGCACAGTAAAATAGAAACATCTCAAGCTGGGTGCCTGTGAACCCAGCTTAGCTCCTTGTCTCCACCCTCATATTATCCCAGACACAACGTCACTCCTTCCTTCCCAGAGTCTCTACCTCCTCCCCTACAGAATGCAGGGGGACAGAAAATAGAGTTTGCAGTCACATCATAACAAGCTGATTCCACTCCTTCCTCCTCACGCTCTTCTCCTTCTTCCGTGAGTGTCCTTCCCATGGGCTACAGTCCTTCAGGATAAGCTGGCTGCAGAGTGGCTCTCCATGGGCTGCAATCCTTCGGGGCTGCAATCCTTCAGGATACACCCACCACACCTACTTTGCTGGTGGGTCATCCATGGGCTGAAGGTGGATCTCAGCTTCTTCATGGACTTCCATGGGCTGCAGGGGCACAGCTGCCTCACCACGGTCCTCTCCAGGGGCTGCAGAGGAATGTCCGCTCTGGCACCTGGAGCAACCTCTCCCCTTCCTTCGCTGTCCCTGTTGCTTCAGGACTGTTTCTTAAAATTTTCCTCAATCCACCTTACCAGTCTGAGTTTTTACACCACTTAAATTGTCTTTTCACAGAAGAACCATGACCATCACTGGTGGGCTGAGCTGTGTCCTGAGGTGGGTTCTTTTGAGAGCATTGAAGTGGCTTTCCCTGGCAAAGGGCGGCCTTGACCTTGCCTCACTGAGACACCCACGGATCCCCAGCTGCCAGCACATGACCCAAGCACCCTGTACCTCTGCCTGTGGGTCACTGTGAGATGACAGCAGGACTTTATTCCATGCTGTACCTTGCACAAATCCCACTTTCCCAGATGTTTTACTGAGCCAGACTCCACTGGGAAGAGCCGATCTCATCTACAAGTAAAAGCAGAGTGGGAGAGCAGTCACACAGAGCAGGGCAATCCTGTTCTTGCAGGAAGTGGGGCAGAGAAGACACTCAGGACTGGTGTGGGCAGTGGGCTCTGCACCCACCTGTGCCCCCCACGACCATTCCTGCATCACTGTTTGTGTGTCAGTGACCACCTGTGGAGAGTGACAGGGATCAACATGTTCACACATCAGTTATCAACCACTGCCAGACAGTGATACAGCTCATCATATTACACTAGGACAGGGCCAGAGCAGAAAGAAATGTAAACTAAAACAGAAATAAATCTGTTGTTTAGTTCAGTGTTTTCAATCAGTGAATACCTAAATATTTGCAGCAGGTTTACATTATTGTTATTGCCCTTTTGCAACCGACCCATATACAAGAACTAAATGAAGTTGTCAATGTTAATAATTGAGCTCAAAAAATTATCTAAACTAAACAATGTTACTAATAATAGTTTTAGCAGCAGATGATGAAGCACTTGTGGCAGGTTTGCAGTATTCTTATTGCCCTTTTGCATCCAGCCCAGGTACCAGGTCTAAATGAAGTTGTTATTGACAATAATTCAGCTCAAAAATTATCTAAACTCAATGATGATAATAGTACTTAAGTCACAATAATCTAGGTCAAAATATTTGAATGCAGTTTTCTTAACTTAGATGGGGAAGAGTAAACATCTCTACCATCTGTGATGCCAGGAGAGTTGTATTAGATATTGACTTGTTCTCTATAGTGAAAGGTCAACAATTTGCATGGGCTGCAGCTTTTGCTACAGTTCTTACCTCATGCAAACCTTGCATATCACACAGGGCAGAATCCTTAGCAGTGTGTTTTTCAACTTGGGGTTGCTGAAAATGAGAATAAGGGAATGAACACCTGGAAAAGCATACTGAAATACATAAATAAGAAACATCATGACACTTTTCCCCTCCGCTGAATAAATTAGTGTCA